TTATTTCCAGTACTGTTTTTGCTTTACCAAGTCTGACTCATAATGATTTTTTAAGTTCTTTTACTTCTTTATCTATATTACCAATTCTTTTTTTATATTATCAATTCTTTATCTTTTACATTTTATTCCATAGCTGTTCAAGTTGTTCCTCATCAATGTATTTCTTTTTGGCCATTGCCTCTGGGATAATTATTCTATTAATGGTTTCCATTTTTTTCCTTCCATCGTTTGCATCTTCTTCTATAGCTGTTCAAATAACTCTATATCAACACATTTCTTCTGTTTCTCTCTATCTGTGCTATTCATTTGTCCTGCTATTTTAGGAAAAGGGTTATTTTGGTTTTTTTCCATGACTGAGGCAAACTGCTGGTTTCTTGATACTATGTGAGTCTTTTGTTAGTACATGCTAGGTTGTTGTAACTATACGATGTTCAAGGGTATGTTTTGTGAGGGAACTGTAAATTGGTGTTCCCCTCTTGACCCAAAGTGGCATGACTCCTTCCCTCTAGAAATCATGCTTCTACCCCTAATCTTCCACTTACTTGTTAGAAGTCCCAAGTTTTCCACATGATGTAGCTAGATAGCAGTGTACATGGCCACAGTAACAGAAAGTCGAACAGAACAGCCATTTTTGTTTCCTTCCAGAAAAAGTGGTTCAACCTGATATTATATATATATATATATATATATGGTCTCACACACACACACATGCGCGCGCACACACACACACACACACACACACACACACACACTCACTCTCTCTCTCTTTCTCACCTGGTGATGCAATCATTAAAGGCTCAACTTCTAACCAGCAGATCAATTGTCTACTTCCTTAAAGATTACGTCTTCGGATCAAGATGAAATGGTTCTATTACTTAGAATTATTGAATCAGAGTTGACTCTCTCTCTCTCTCTCTCTATATATATATATATAATGTGTATATACAAGATATATAAAGATATATAAATAAAAATTTAAATATATATATATACACACACACATATATTGCTTCTACAAGGTGTTCTTTTCATAACAGTTATCATAATTCCCTCATCATTATAACTATTGTAGAAAGAGAGAATTGGCATAGGAAATATACTTTTTGGAGTTGTTGTTGTTATGTACCATCAAGTCACTTGCGACTCCTGGCAACTCATAGTACAAGAGCTCTAAATGCTGCTCTATCCTGTGCCAACCTCACCATCTCAAACACACTTATTCCCACCACTCCAATTACAGAATTGATTCTTCTCATTGAGGGTCTTCCTCTCCTACACTGTCCCGCCACTCTCCCAAACATGATGTCCCTCTTCAAGGACCAGTCCCTCCTCGAAACATGTCCAAAGTATGTCAGATGAAGCTTCAGAATCCTTGACTCTAAGGAGCACTCCGGCATCACCCTCCAGAGGACAAAGCTGTTTGTTCTCCTAGCAGTCCATGGTATATTCAACACTCTTCTACAGCACCCCAGCTTAAAGACATCAATTCTCTTTCTATATTATCCCTAGTCACTGTCCAACTCTTTGATGCAGAACATGCAATTGCAAAGACTTAGTCTCCAGTCTGACATCGTTGCTCTTCAGTACTCTTGAGAGGTCTCTCACAGCTGACTTTACCAATGCAATTTGTCTCTTGATTTCCTTGCTGCTGGTACCAAGAGTGCTGACTGTGGAGCCAAGTAAACTAAACTTTTAACTATCACAGTCTCTTCACCATCCATACTGATGCTGCCAATTCGTCCAGTGGTGAGAATCTTTGTTTTCTTCATGTTGAGCATCAATCCGTATTGAAGGCTGCAGTCCCTGACCTTCTGCTGCAAGCGCTTCAGGTCCTCCTCAATTTCAGCAAGCAGGGTTGTGTCATCTGCATAATGGAGGTTGTCGATGACTCTTCCACCAATTCTGATGCCACATTCCTCCTCGTACAGCCCAGAGTATCAGATGATCTGTTAAGTAAAAGGACATTTTCTCATAACCTTCCAAGAAAAGAAGCCATCCTTGATACTTGTACATGGCTGTTGTACTTAGAGACTTTAAAGTTAAGCCATACTAGCTGCATCATAAGAGAATGACAGCAGCATGATATGTTCAGAATCACAGAAATCCAGATTGTTTGAGACTTTGGCCATCACATCAAGGGCTGGTCAAGGGGAGAGTGGTGTTGAATGGTGTAGGCAAACTTAAGAAGGGATGGATGGTGGTGGAGTAGGAAAGGTTGGATTAAAAAAGAAAAAATAAAAACAAAACCACACCATGTTGCAAGGGTGAGCAGCAACATTTAATCTAATGGTCATTTTTGTAACTGGGTAAATGTCTTTCATCTGCTCTTTTCTGTAAAATACTTGTCTGTCAGATACTTTTTTGGAGTAAAGATTATAAGAGATGCTACTAGAACGGGGAGAAAATAAAACCAGTAAAGCAAGGCTGTTGGCAGACTTAATACTTTACCTTTGAGATTTGTAATGTGTCCTGAGTTTTCATATATTCACTAATAAACCATCATGGATTAGTGGAATTAATTTAAATTCTTTAAGAATTTCAACTTATTGCAAGTGAATCTCAATTGCTGGGTAGCTCTAATCACTGTGTCTAAACTCCTTTAATCTGAGTTTAGGGACTAAATGTATTCTTTTATCCTCAAAGGAGGATATTGGGTCTTTAGCCACATCTTCTACAAGATCTGGTGGTTATGTCTTCTTTCTAAATGTACTTTTTGAGGTTGTTATTACTTACATTAAATGTTTGAATCTTTCTCATTTACTGAAAACATTAAAATTCAGTAGAGTTATATATGCAGTTGGTCTTTTTCCTTTGATAATTTTCGTTAGAGATAATCAGTCAGTAGTGTTTGATAAAATTACGCTCAATTTAAGCAAGTAAGCAATGTAGAAGCCAAAAGTAGCAAGATCCTCCCATTACATAAATGAAGTAAACTTTAAAAAAAAAACCAACCAGAAAACCTTTTTGCTTTCTTTGGCCTATGTTCTCCTACGGATCATCTTTAGAGATTGACCTCTGCCTTAATAAGATGCTCATTTTAATTTCTTATATAATTGCAACTTACATAGCATAGTTCTTTACCTCCTTTTAAATTTATAAGAGAACTATGGTTGCCTAGGCTATAAAGACTAGGCTGGATCCCAAGGCTGAGGCTATAAAGACTAGGCTGGATCCCAAGGCTGAGGCTCTTTGGTGATTGGAATCCACTTGTCACTCCATAGGAGACTCCTTCTATATGTGTTTTCTCAGAAGCCACTGGAGGGTCAGCTATGGAATATGTTACAACTCATGGCAATGAGTTTTGAGTTAGGTACATTAGAGAGAAGAGCTTGAATGAGAGAGAGAGAGAGAGAGAGAAAGAGAGAGAGAGAAGAGAGAAGAGAGAAGAGAGAAGAGAGGAGAAGAGAGAAGAGAGAAGAGAGGAGAGAGAGAAACTATCCAGTATTTCCTTAAAAATACTTTTTTGCATTTATTTAATGGTCTACATCTGAGTCTTTTAGAAGAAAGTGGCCAGGACCAGTAAAGAACTCAGTGTTTTTTTTTCCTCAGTTACAGCTTTTGTGTAAGCTATAGATTTGTGAGGAAGGTATAACATTGCCTACAGCAATGTAGGCAACTTGCCATTGAGCCAATTCTGATTCTTGGCAATGCCTTGTACACTGAGCAGAACTGCACTTCTTAGGGTTTTCATGACTATGATCACTTGCAAATGTATTACCAGGCCTTTCTTCTGAAGTGTGTGAATAAGGCTGGGACCATCAACCTTTCCGTTAGAAGTGAACACTAAACTGTTTGTAGCACCCAAGACCAGTAATTAGAGTTTGTTGTTGTTATGTGCCGTCGAGTCGCCTGCTACTCATAGCGACCCTATCTACAACAGCCCTAAACTCCGCTCTGTCCTGTGCCAATCACACTGTCTCTGACACTCCCATCCCAATTATCCCAGTCACTAAATCAATCCACCTCATAGAGGGCCTTCCTCTCCTGCGCTGTCCCTCCACCTTCCCAAGCATGGTCCCTCTCTAAGGACCGGTCTCTCCTCACAACATGTCCAAAGTATGTTAGACGGAGCCTCAGAATCCTTGCATCCAAGGAGCCACCTGGCTTAACCCTTTCCAGGACAAATCTGTTTGTTTTCCTAGCAGTCCATGGTATTCTCAGTATTCTTCTCCAGCACCACAGCTCAAAGGCATCAATTCTCCTTCTATCCTCCTTGGTCATTGTCCAACTCTCTGATGCATAACAGGTGATTGTGAAGACCATGGCCTGTATCAGACGCACCTTAGTCTCCAAAGAGATACCATTGCTCTTCAGCGCTTTGGAGAGGTCCCTAACAGCAGACTTTCTCATGGCAATGTGCCTTTTAATTTCCTGGATTCTGGTGCCAAGACTGTTGACTATGGAGCCAAGCAAACTAAAGCTGTGTACAATCTCAATCTCTTCACCATCCATGCTGATGCTGCCAATCGGTCCAGTGGTGAGAATCTTTGTCTTCTTGACATTGAGTCTCAATCCATATTGTAGGCTGCAGTCCTTGACACTGCAGCAGGCGCTTCAGGTCCTCTTCAGTTTCAGCAAGCAGGGTTGTGTCATCTGCATAACGCAGATTGTTGATAAATCGTCCACCAATCTTGACCCCACATTTCTCCTCATAGAGCCCCGCCTCCCGGATAATCTGTTCTGCATATAGGTTGAAAAGGTATGGAGATAGGATGCATCCCTGGCGTACTCCCTTCCCAATTTAGAACCATGCAGTGTTCCCTTGCTCTGTTCTGACGACTGCTTCCTGGTCCAAGTAATAATAATAGACCAAAGAGTTCTAAAACTTAAAAATTTTCTGAGTGACTTGATTAAATCAACTTTCTAAACTCAATTTTTTCTAATTTAAATATTTTTGTTAATCTGTACATTTTATCACAGCTCTCCCATTTGAAAGAAGACAACACTGTTTTCCTCTTTTGCCAGATAAGTTCTGATGGAACTTTATTCTTAAAATGCAGGACACACTATCATCTTCACAACACACCATCTGGATGAAGCAGAAGTGCTGAGTGACCGAATTGCTATCCTACAGGGAGGGCAGCTTAGGTGTTGCGTCCCTGCCTTCTGCCTGAAGGAAGATTGCAGCCAAGGTCTCAGCCTGGTGCTCGCACGACAGGTATGGAATTCAGGGATCCAGACTGAGACTTGACTGTAATTTTAAAGTCTTCTTGCTGTTTGTGACATAAAATGAGGCGTGACCCTTATGGAAGAAGAGTGAGTACTGTCAAAATTGTATTGGAATAGGTGAAGGGAAGGCTAAATTGAATTGAATGGATGATCAGACAATGTGTGTACTGCAATTAAAAGTAAAAAAAAAGACAGATAATTGACAGGAATGGAGGTGAGAAAAAAAAGAATTGTTTGCACACAGACACACAATTGTGGAGAGTTGACAGATGAGAGGGTAGGGAGAGGAAGAAGAGATCATAGATCATTGAATGGGTGAGTAGAGTGAAGGGAAAGGGAGAATACATAGACAAAGGACTTTGATAAGAAATTATAAATAATGGAATAAGAAATTACAATTAATGTTATAAAACAAAATATCTGCAGGTGATAAATAAAAATCAGATAAAAATATGGTATTTAACACATGGGTTTCCATTTACATAAACTTAAAAGACATTTGTTCTGAATTTCTCATGGCCTCCTATATTTTCAATCTTGCACTACTATATAGTTCTCTGGTGAAATGGGAACCAAAGAGGGAGGAGTCATTGAGGTTTCTGAAAATGCGTTCTTGTAATCTCAGTAAAAGCAGAAAGGAAGATGAATTTAAGAAACAAACAAAAATGTGATTGTGATAGCATAAGTGGAATTGAAATAAAATTCCTGAAATACTTTTTGGGTGGGCAAAGAGGGAAGAGCAGGCTGGTAAGGTGATAATTTCATAAAGGATCTTGAATACAGTCCTTACAGTGTCAGGAGGGATAATCTCTGTCTTCTATGTGTGAAGACCTACATAAGTTGTTAACTTACATTGTGTTTACTCCACCTCATGGTGACACCAGGCACAGTGGGTTAGAACACTGCCTGCTCCTGTGCCTTTACCACTTAGATTCATAGAGTTTTTATTTGATGATTGTCAGAAGTCAATTTCCAGACCTCTTCTTCATAGTCCAGCTCTTCTGGGGGCTTCTACCAAGACTTGAGCATCATAGTAACACAAAGTCACCACTGCCAAACGTATGGTGACAGCCAGAAGCTTGGGAACTGCACTGCTTGGAACATGTCACATCTCTGGGCCTTTGTTCAGGTGGGGATAGCTTTCTTTTGTAGCAGCTAGGGTAGTAGATAGGACCAATACACATGGCTATTGAGAACTAACCAGTCCCAGGAGAAGGTACATGACCATTAGCAACCACTGGGAGTTGGAGATTGTACTGCTGAGAACTTATACTTTGCTGGACCTTTTCTCTGAGCAGTATATCCCAGGAAGCACTCTTGTGACTTTTCTCCATGTCTGGGGAAACCAACCCCCTTCCATGAAAACTACAGAACAGGACAGAGAAGCAGCCCACCATAACTGAGCAAAGACCGTGCCCCTCAAAGGATAATCAGATGAATATCTTGGCACATGAAACAGGAAACAGGCATTCGTAGATGACCAGCAGGAAGAATTTCCACTGAGAAATTAAATTGGGATGAACACTTAGAGTCTGCAACTCATGAACAGCATCATGAAGGTAAGAAACTGCCAACAACTTACATAGACACAAAAGAAACTAACTCACACATGCAAAGACAAATTTCACATAATGTCAAGGAAGCAGCAGGTACCTCCAACATTATGGGGAGACCAACAAAAACCCTTCTCTTAAAAAAGTACGTCAAATTTCAGAAATACTAAATATCCCAGAGACAAAGAGGCAGAAAAAATATAGTGTGGAGTTGCACAAAATGCTACTGAAAAGTTGCAAATGATGGAGCTAAGAATTGAAGCCATAAATAAAGAGGTACAAGAATTTAAAGAAATCACAAGACAGAGAACAACCAAGAGAGTTCTAGAGACAATAGGAATGCATGAAAATGCAATTCAAAATATCAAGACCAAAATGGTAGAATTTTACAAAATGTTGGAGGGACAGAAAAAAAAAGCCAGAATAGAAAATAAAGAACAGAGATTCAGTGAACTAGAAGACACTAGATGAAAAAAACAGAGCGAAGACACAGAAATATGAAGAAAATATTAGACTCATGTGGGATAACATCAAATGGAATATTTGTTGGATTGGAATTCTAGAATAGAAGTGGGAGTGTGGTGGGAAGGGAAAGCACTGAGAAAAGGTTCTAGAAGAAAATATCCCAGGTATTTTAGCAAACTTCAAATAGACTAGGACCTCCGCAAGATCCATCAAGATGCATCCAAAATCAAAGATAAGTTGAGAATACCAAAATTAGCAAGATAAAAAACAGAGTCACTTGCAAAGGAGAACCAATTATATTAAGCTCTAACTTCTCAGTAGAAACCTTGACAGAGTGAAGACAATGAAATAACATACACAAAAAGCTGAAAGAAAATAATTGCCTGCCAAGGATCTTGACCCAGAAAAGCTGTCCATCAATATGAAGGAGAAATCAGGTCATTTGCAGAAAAGCAGGAACTCAAGAAATTTGTGAAAATAAGACCAACTCCACAAGAAATACTAAGGGAAGCCCTTCACAGAGAGACAGCAAAGGAAAGTGGAGGACCAAAATAAGAAATAGAATAAAACAATAGAAAAACAAAAGAGCAAAACGACAATGATAAAACCTGGTATGTCAATAAGACTTAATATGTTTTGGTTAAACATATTAAGAGAATTATGGTTTGAGATTGGATAAAACAAACAATTAAACCCAAAGCCAGTTAATGTGTGATGTACAAGACACACATTTAAGAAATGAAGAATTACACAGAGTAAAAATCAAAGGGGGGGGAAATATAAAATAGCTAATGTTGTTATTGTTATGTGCCATTGAGTCACCTGTGACTCTAGTACAACAGCTCTGAACCCTGCCCTATCCTGAGCCAATCTCATTGATTCTGACACACTCATTACCCAAGTTACTGTGTCAATCCATTTCATCTGGGTCTTGTTCTCTTGGGCTGTCTCTCCACCTTTGCAAGCATTATGTCCTCTAAGGACTGGTCTCTTCTGGCCCTGTGTCCAAAGTATGTGAGGTGCATGACATTTGTAAAAAAGCAAAAGTGGCAATAGTAATCTATGATTAGACTTCAGGTTGAAAGCCACCATAAAAGATAAACACACTATATAGTGATTAAGGCACAAGAGATCAAGAAGATGTAGCCTTGTTTGACATCTGTATACCAAATTATAGAACAGCAAAAATACATAAAACTAGATTTGTGGTGGTAGTGGTGTACCATTAAGTTGAAACTGATACATAACTGACTCTTCAGTAGGTTTTCAGAGGTAGTTAATTGCACAGGAGGATATTCCCCATATTTCTGCCATGGAGCAGCTGGTGGGTTCAAATCAAGTGCCTTTGGGATTGCAGTGCAGCTTCTTACCACTAAGCCAGAAGGAGACTTTAACATACCACTCTCAACAAAGAACATGTTAATTCAAAAGGAATTCAGCAAAGATGCAAAAGAAGAAATGCCATAAAACTAGAAATTAACAAGAGGATAAACACACCAATGTGGAAGCCAAATAGCAAGCTGCTTGAACATTATTGGGTTATAGAAGTGGAAAAAATGAAAAAATATTCCTTGAAACAAAATTAAATGCAAGCTCTGAGATACAGCTAATCCCATAGCATCTAGAAGAAAGGAAATTATAAAGACAAGAACTGAACACAGTGAAAAGAAAATAGAAAAATAATTGAAACCTTCAACAAGACCAGGAACTGGTTCTTTGAAAGAGTTAAAAAGAAAGAAAAAAAAAAGAAAGACAAACTATAAGAAAACTTAACAAAAGAGAAGAAAGAGAAGACACACATAACTCAACTAAGAAATGAAAGAGATGACATCAGAACAGAAACAGGTGAAATTAAAAAATAACAGAATAATAAGAAAAGCTATACTGTTATAAACTTGAAAACTTAGAGGAAATTCCTAGAAACTGACACTCTTCCTAGATTAGACAGATGTTAAAACATCTATGCAAACTGAATCTCTCTTACACACACACACACACACACACACACACACACTATAAAAAGTCTCCCTCTCCAAAAAAGCCCTGACTCACATGAATAAACTATCACCTTGTTGTTGTTACTGTTGTTCTGTGCCGTCGAGTCACCTGTGACTCATAGTGATCCTAATTACAATAGCCTTAAATTCTGCTCTATCCTGTGCCAATCTAATTGTCTCTGATACCCCTACCCCAATTACCCCAGTCGCTGGATCAATTCTGCTCATCAGGGTCTTCCTATCCTGCAATGTCCATCCACTCTCTCAAGTATGACATCCCTCTCCAAGGGCTGTAAGAAATGAAGAGGTGACAAGAGCAGAAACATATGAAATTAAATAAAAAAGAACAGAATATTATGAGAAGCTATACTCTAATAAACTTTAAAAACCTAGAGGAAATAGACAAATTCCTAGAAACTGACACTCTTCCTAAATTGCTAGAGACAGATGTAGAACACCTATACAGACTCATCACGCACACACACACACACACACACACACTTGAACAGATTATAAAAAGTCTCCCCCTCCAAGAAAGCTCTGGCTCACATGACTTCTCAGGTCAAACATTTAGGACACACACACACACACACACTTGAACAGATTATAAAAAGTCTCCCCCTCCAAGAAAGCTCTGGCTCACATGACTTCTCAGGTCAAACATTTAGGAACAAACTATCACTTCCTCTATTTAAATTATTTCGAAGGTAGAAAAAGAATTAATACTCCCAGAATAATTCTATGAAGCAACCATAACCCTCATACCAAAACCAGACAAAGACATCACAAAAAAAATGAAGACAACTACAGACAAATGTCTCCATGAACATAGACACAAAAATTCTTTAAAAAATTTGGCCAATAGAAACCAGCATTATATTAAAAAAATCATCAAGACCAATTGGGATTCATATCAGGTATTTAATGATGGTTCAACATAAGAAAAATAATCAAAGTAATTCTTCACATTAACA